AAGTGGTGCCTCGATGCGCACCCGGGATCCGAACCCGGGCCACCAGCATTGCAGCGCGCGCACTTAACCACCAAGCCACAGGGCCGGCCCAAAAGAACACATTTTAGACCATAAGTTAATTCTCAATAAATGTAAAAGGATCGAAATCATATAGAATATATTCTTTAACCACAGTAGAATTATATTGGAAATCAATAACAAAGTGATATCTGGAAAAATCCCTAAATATTTGTAAATTTCACAAAACGCCCTTCTAAATAACTCCAGGATCAAAAAAGAAAAAGTCACCAGGGAAACTGGAAAATGTTTTGACCTAAATGATAATGGAAACATCAAAGCTTGTGGGATGAAGCTAAAGTAGGCTATGAGGGAAATTTATACGTTTAAGTGCTTATATTAGAAAAGAAAAAAGAGAGCCGGCCCCATGGCTTAGCGGTTAAGTGCACGCGTTCCGCTGCTGGCGGCCCGGGTTCAGATCCCGGGCGCGCACCGAGGCACCGCTTCTCCGGCCATGCTGAGGCCGTGTCCCACATGCAGTAACTAGAAGGACGTGCAACTATGATGTACAACTGTCTGTGGGGGCTTTGGGGGGAAAAAAAAGGAGGAGGATTGGCAATAGATGTTAGCTCAGAGCCGGTCTTCCTCAGCAAAAAGAGGAGGATTAGCATGGATGTTAGCTCAGGGCTGATCTTCCTCACAAAAAAAAAAGAAAGAAAGAAAAGAAAAAAGATCTAAAACAGACATTGGGGAACTTTTTCTATAAAGGGCCAGACAGTAAGTATTTTAGGCTTTGCAGGCCATTCAGCCTCTGTTGCATACTTAACTCTGCCTTGTGGCATGAAATCAGGCATAGACAATGCCTGACATAGACAATGCTAAATAAATGAATAAGTGGCTATGTTCCAATAAAACTTTATTCATGGGCAATGATATTTGAATTTCATATAATTTCACATGACAAAGAATATTATTATCCTTTTCTTTTTTTTTCTACCATTAAAAATGTAAAAACCATTCTTAGTTTGGTAAAGGTACCTTTAAAATATCTCATGGTACAATGTTTATGACCTTATGATAAGACATAAAGAGCACAAACCATAAAGGAAAAGCTTAATATATTTGACTTTATTAAAATGTAAAACTGACCAAAAATACTTTGGAAAAGCCACAAAAACAAAATTAAAAAGTCCATGTCAGACATTTTTATACCAGGTTGAATTCCAGATGGATCAGATTTAAATATAAAAAATCAAACCATGAAAGTACTAAAAGAAACTATAAGAAAAAACTGTTAATAAAGTGATGAAATGGGGAAAGCCTTTTGAAATATGGCAAAAATTTGAAGCCATAAAAGATTGATAAATGTAACAACATAAAAGTAAATAATTTCTGTGTAGCCTTAACCACTGTTAGCAAATGACAAACCAGGGAGAAATATCTGATTCATATTATAAACAAAGGGCTTACTCTAGTATATTAAGAGTCACAAATAACAAAAAGACTATAATTCAGTAGAAAAATGAGCAAAGGATAAGAACAGACAGTTCACTAGAAAGGAAATACAAATACCTTGTAATGATGTCTTGTAATGAAATATGTACAAACTCTTAATAAAAAACATTAAAACTACATAAACATTTTTCTCCTGTCAGATTGGCAAAGATCAAAAAAGTTGAGGACACCATGTTGCCAAAGAGAAAAGACAACAGTTGTTCTCATGCACTACTGATAGGTGTATAAATTAGTACATTCTCTTTGAGGGCAATTTGGCAGTATTCCTCAGAAATCCAAATACAAGTGCTCTGTGATTAGCAATTTTACTTACAGGAATTGATCTGCCAGGCATTTGCATAAGTAAGATAAAAAATTTGTTTTATTCATTCAGCATTATTTCTAACAGCAAAAGAGTGAAGCAACCTAAATGTCCATCAACAGGGGGCTGATTAAATAAATTATGGTATGATTTGAAATCATTCAAATACAGCCATTGAAAAGAATGAAGTAGTTCTAGTGTATATTCACATGGAATGATCCAAAATATATGGTTACATGAAAAAAATGCAGAAAAATGTGCAAAACATTGTGTACATACTGCTACCATTTGAGAAAGAATGTATAAACATATTATAAACGTGTAAAATATGTCTAGAGGAATACATGAATATCTATGGATGTTTCTGAGTAGAGGAACTGGAAGGCTGAAGAACAGTGACAGGAGGGACACTTCATTTTATATTTGGGTTTCTTTGCGTTTTTTGGCTATCTTTTGAATTTTGGAGTATGACATCTATTCAAAAGCATTTTTAGAATGAACACATCAGGAATGTTTATTATGCTGTCATTTAAGAGCGAAAAGGTGCAAAAAACCTAAATGTTCATCAATAGGAAAATATGTAAATCGTGGTCAAATCTACAGTGATATACTTGAGCACAGCTAAAATAAATGTATTAAGCTTTTCATGTCAACATAGAAAAATGTCAAATTTGTAATGTTAAGTGAGAAAGGTAAGTTACACCCCCAGCATCATCCCATCAATGGAAAGTTTGAAAATGTAGTAAACAATGCTTTTCAACTATGATGTTTTATTCTTTAAAAAAGAAATCTGATGCAAGTATGGCACAAAATCTTATAAATCCATTCATCTAGGTAATGGGTACATGAGTTTTTTTGTTAGAGTCTCCTTTATTTCTTTTGGTGTGTTTGAAATACTGCGGGCTTTTTTTGTTTGTTTGGGGTTTTTTGCTGAAGAAGATTCACCCTGAACTGACATCTTATCTATCTCTATCTCATGTGTTGGTCACCACCACAGCATGGCCACTGGTGAGTGGTGTAGGTCCATGCCCAGGAACCGAACTCAGGCCTCCCAAGCAGAGCGCCAAACTTAACCACTAGGCCACGGGGCCAGCCTCCTGCATAATTTTTTTTTGAGGAAGATTGGCCCTGCACTAACATCTATTGCCAATCCTCCTCTTTTTTTTCCTTTTTTCTCCCCAAAGCCCCCAGTACATAGTTATATATCCTAGGTGTAGATCCTTCTAGTTCTTCCGTGTTGGACTCTGCCTCAGCATGGCTTGAGAAGCGGTGAGCAGTTCTGCGCCCAGGATCCGAACCGGTGAACCCCAGGCCACCGAAGTGGAACACGCAAACCCAACCGCTGCTCCACCAGGCTGGCCCCTGCATAATTTTTTTTTAAAGTTAAGAAAATGTGCTTAACTGGACCATGAAATCTTTGCCACTATTGCCCATCCTAAGGGGCCCCAGTAGTGTTGTAGGCAGTTCGCATAGAACTGTTCTCGCCCAATCCTATTTGTCCTGTTGGGACCCAGAGCATCCCCTACCCTCCTACAGGAGCCAGAATGCTACTCAAATGAAAGAGACTCTTCTTGGTGGCCAACAGGGTTTCTCATGTCTATATCTGAGTTGTCTTATCTTCCAGGGATGTTGGTGGTAAATGTAACATGGAGGAACAAGACCTATGTAGGTACACTTCTTGACTGCACACGGCATGATTGGGCACCCCCCAGGTAAGCACTCTACAGCTTTTTAGTTTGTATTAGTCTGAACCATCCTCATCAGTGAGTGACCTCTTACCGTTATCCCACTAGAGTTGGATAGCTTTTAAAAGATACCCAGCTTTTAAAGGACATTATGGCGTAGAGACAAGGGAAGGTACTATATTCATCTGGCATTCAAGAAAAATACATGAATTAGCTGTTGATGGGTTGGGTAGGAATTGGGAGAAGATCCTATTTAAGCCTTAGTCTGGAATTACTGAATTCTGGCTTGAAACCAAGGCCATGGAGTCTGACTATGGGTGAACAAACATTCACTGATGATATTTTTTGATGGTGCTATCTCTTAGAAGTTTAAACTAAGAACATTTTCAGTTTTATAAACTCCATTAGACAGCATGGGTTTCACAAGGATCTTTTCAAGTTGCAATTTGACCTTAAGATTGACGTTTCAGGGGCTGGCCCCGTGGCGTAGCGGTTAAGCGTGCACGCTCCGCTGCTGGCAGCCCGGGTTCAGATCCCGGGCACGCACAAATGTACCGCTTGCCAGGCCATGCTGTGGTGGCGTCCCATATAAAGTGGAGGAAGATGGGTACGGATGTTAGCCCAGGGCCAGTCTTCCTCAGCAAAAAAACAGGAGGATTCGCATGGATGTTAGCTCAGGGCTGATCTTCCTCACAAAAAAATAAATAAATAAGATTGACATTTCAGTGAATAGCACCCTACAGCTTGTTCCTAATATTAGTTTCCAGTTTGCCAGGGTTTGGGGAACCCAAATGTTGGGAAATAATTTACAAATAGCATGCAGATAACATCCTAGGAGCTCACCACTTAATGCAGTTCCCACGCTTTCAGAAGTTTCTTTAACAAATCATATTCATTGAAAATGATAGTTACCATCTGGACAGTTCTTCTGGAACCTGCAGCTAAAATGGTTTTAAGATGTTTTCTCTTCTTAATAATAACCTGTTGTGTTTGTCCTTTGCCAAGGTTCTGTGACTCCCCTACCAGTGACTTGGAAATGCGCAATGGTCGGGGTAGAGGCAAACGTATGCGTCCCAACAGTAACACACCTGTCAATGAGACAACCACAGCCTCTGACAGCAAAGGGACCAGCAGCAGCAGCAAAACCAGAGCAGGAGCCAATAGCAAAGGCCGTCGGGGCAGCCAGAATTCTTCAGAGCATCGCACACCTGCCAGTAGCACCTCTGAGGATGTCAAAGCCAGCCCTTCCTCAGCTAATAAGCGGAAAAACAAACCCCTTTCAGACATGGAGCTGAATTCTAGCTCAGAGGACTCCAAAGGGAGCAAACGTGTCCGTACGAATTCCATGGGCTCAGCCACTGGCCCTCTTCCTGGGACCAAAGTGGAACCTACTGTTCTAGACAGAAATTGTCCCTCCCCGGTCCTGATTGACTGTCCCCACCCAAACTGCAACAAAAAGTACAAGCACATCAATGGACTTAAGTACCACCAAGCTCATGCCCATACAGATGATGACAGCAAGCCGGAAGCAGATGGAGACAGTGAGTACGGAGAGGAGCCCACCCTCCATGCAGACCTCGGGAGCTGCAATGGTGCATCTGTCTCACAGAAAGGTTCCTTGTCCCCTGCCCGCTCAGCTACCCCCAAAGTTCGGCTCATAGAGCCACATAGCCCTTCTCCTTCAAGCAAATTCAGCACAAAAGGCCTCTGTAAGAAAAAGTTGAGTGGGGAAGGGGACACAGACTTAGGGGCCTTATCCAATGATGGCTCTGATGATGGACCCTCAGTAATGGATGAAACAAGCAATGATGCCTTTGATTCTTTGGAAAGGAAGTGTATGGAAAAAGAAAAATGTAAAAAACCCTCTAGTTTGAAACCTGAAAAGATTCCTTCAAAGAGCTTAAAGTCAGCCAGGCCCATTGCCCCTGCCATCCCCCCGCAGCAAATCTACACGTTCCAGACAGCCACCTTCACAGCAGCAAGCCCAGGCTCCTCCTCAGGCTTGACTACCACAGTGGTCCAAGCCATGCCCAACAGCCCCCAACTCAAACCCATTCAGCCCAAGCCCACTGTGATGGGAGAACCTTTCACAGTCAACCCCGCCTTGACTCCAGCCAAGGACAAGAAAAAGAAAGATAAAAAAAAGAAGGAGTCTTCAAAGGAACTTGAAAGTCCTCTGACCCCTGGGAAGGTATGTCGAGCAGAAGAAGGCAAAAGCCCATTCAGGGAATCATCAGGAGATGGAATGAAAATGGAGGGGCTCCTAAATGGCTCATCAGACCCCCACCAAAGCCGACTGGCTAGCATCAAGGCTGAAGCTGATAAGATCTACAGCTTCACAGACAATGCCCCCAGTCCTTCAATTGGAGGCAGTAGCCGCCTAGATAGCACCACCCCTACCCAGCCCATGACTCCCTTGCATGTAGTGACCCAGAATGGAGCTGAAGCCAGCTCAGTCAAAACCAACAGTCCTGCATACTCTGACATCTCTGATGCTGGGGAGGATGGGGAGGGCAAAGTGGACAGTGTCAAGTCAAAGGACCCTGAACAGTTGGTTAAGGAAGGAGCTAAGAAGACTCTTTTCCCCCCTCAGCCACAGAGCAAAGACTCACCATATTACCAAGGTTTTGAGAGTTACTACTCTCCAAGTTATGCACAGTCCAGCCCAGGGGCTCTGAACCCCAGCAGCCAGGCAGGAGTGGAGAGCCAGGCCCTGAAGACAAAAAAGGATGAGGAGTCTGAGAATATAGAGGGGAAAGTGAAGAATGATGTCTGTGAGGAAAAGAAACCAGAGCTGAGCAGTTCCAGTCAGCAGCCCTCCGTCATCCAGCAACGTCCCAACATGTATATGCAGTCGCTATACTACAACCAATATGCCTATGTGCCCCCCTATGGCTACAGTGACCAGAGTTACCACACCCACCTCCTAAGCACTAACACGGTATACCGGCAACAGTATGAAGAACAGCAGAAACGGCAGAGCTTGGAGCAACAACAGCGGGGACTGGATAAGAAGACAGAGATGGGCCTGAAGGAGGCAGCACTCAAGGAAGAATGGAAGCAAAAGCCATCAATTCCACCAACTCTCACCAAGGCCCCCAGCCTGACAGACCTGGTGAAGTCAGGACCTGGCAAAGCCAAGGAGCCAGGGGCTGACCCTGCCAAATCAGTCATTATTCCCAAGTTAGATGACTCTTCCAAACTCCCCAGCCAGGCCCCAGAAGGACTTAAAGTGAAGCTGAGTGAAGCCAGCCACCTAGGCAAGGAGGCTTCTGAGGCTAAGGCAGGTGCTGAGTGTGGCCGACAGGCTGAGGTGGATCCAATACTCTGGTACCGACAGGTAACTGTTCTGGGAGGAAATAGAAATACTGTTTGATAGTCTTTCTGTCTTCCTCATTAATCAGGGCTGTCCTTATGTAGGGGGTCAACAGAATACAGATTAGCAGGAGAATTCTATAACTTTAGGGATTCTTTACCTTTGCAAATCATTTTAATGTTTTTTAAAAAGCACTTTTACATCAGTAAAAGATATTTTTCATATTTGAGAAGAGAGACCCAGGTAAGTTAGTGTTATTTGTCTAGGATTACTTGAGACTTCACTAACAGAGCCAGAACTAGAATCCAGGTATCTTGATTCCTAGTCCAGTGTTGCTCCCACTGTTTGGTTCCTATGGAATGAGTTAATGGTGATCTTTCCATTTTTTAGAGTAGGCTGAGAGTACCACTACTTAGACTGAGTCACTTTCAAAAAGACTTTATAGGTAGAGTTAGAACTGAGAACTTGGTCTCACATCTAGTTCTGCTCATGAGACTCAGAAAGCTTCCCTTCCCTCTTGGTGCCCTAGTTAAACCTCCCTCCTCTGAGATGGGCACCACTTACCGCTTTCTACCCCTGAGCTTGTTCTGAAGAAGTGAAACAACCTAAAAATCCTTGGAATGAGAGCAGCCTCTTCTTTTTTTTTTATAACATCAATTATAATTTTATTTATTTATTTTTTCCCCCAAGGCCCCAGTAGATAGTTGCATGTCATAGCTGCACATCCTTCCAGTTGCTGTATGTGGGACGCGGCCTCAGCATGGCCAAAGAAGCGGTACATTGGTGCGCGCCCGGGATCCGAACCCCGGGCCGCCAGCAGCGGAGCACGCGCACCCAACCGCCAAGCCACGGGGCCGGCCCAGCCTCTTCTGTTCTTGGAGTCATTTCCCCAGAATGCTGTTCTCTCCTAGAGAAGACCCATTGATGGATTTTTCTTTTCTTTCCCCACATCTTGTTTCCTTTGGGGGCAGGGAGGGGGCAGGCTTTTTAAACAGGAGGGACTAGAGTTGATTGTAAATGAAGATCAATAGAGACCAAGTTCATACTCTGCCCCAGGTGTCTAATATTATCTGCTCTGGTGTTTCTACTGGGACTTTGGCCTTGAAATCTCTCTCTTATCTGTACAACACTCAGTGCTCATTCTGTGATTGTTGTAGGAAGCAGAGCCCCGGATGTGGACATATGTTTATCCTGCCAAGTACTCAGACATCAAGTCAGAAGATGAGCGTTGGAAAGAGGAGCGAGACCGCAAATTGAAGGAGGAAAGGAATCGGAGTAAGGACTCTGTCCCCAAGGAGGATGGGAAGGAAAGCACAAGTAGTGACTGCAAGCTGCCCACGTCTGAGGAATCTCGCCTTGGGAGCAAGGAGCCTCGCCCGAGTGTCCATGTGCCTGTGTCCTCCCCGCTCACCCAGCACCAGTCTTACATCCCCTACATGCACGGCTACTCCTACAGCCAGTCCTATGACCCCAACCACCCCAGCTACCGGGGCATGCCTGCTGTGATGATGCAGAACTACCCAGGTACAGCACTCTCATTCCAGCTGGTGTTCCATTAACCGGGAAGGGAAATGAAGCACAAATTTCAAATCCAGAGTTTTCTTGCTCAGCCCTAAGCCTTGTTGAGGCTCAGGTAGATGACAGCCTTTTTTTAAATGTGGCATTCTATGAAGTAGATACTCGAACCCCAAGCTCCTGGAATGACCCCTAATTACAGTCTGTGGGACCACCTCTGCCTCCCTTGCTCCACTAGAGGGTTGCCTCTACAGTTAGTTTTCATGGATAACTAAAGGTAAAACTCCCTCTCTACCACTGCCATCTTCCCTCAGCTGGAATTCTTTTTTAAACACATATTCTACGTTTTGCCATGTGCTAGGCATTGTGGGGAATACAAAAGAAAGAAAGAAGACTTGTTCCCTCCCCTCAAGGAGTTTATAACTTAATTGTAGCAAGAGAGACATATGGAACAAATAACATTCAAACCAAGGCAGTGCATGTATTCATTTGCAAGATCATGTTCAGCTGTAAGGTCAGAAGGCAGAGAAGGGAAAAGCAGTTTGAAGTCTGAAGTCCAGCTAGAAGGGGTGAGCTCGGGAAAGATAAGCTCTTTACACTGCCATCCATGAGTTCTTGGGCAGGGAGGCACAAACTAGCAGTTTAAGTGTTTTTTAACGTGTTAGACGGAAATGCTCTTATTCAACTCCACTCACTGATTTCTGTTGCCTGAAGGGCCATGTGGGATGCTTCTGGGGTGGGAGAGCACTTCTTTCACTCCTTAGAGCTCCCAACTCCCTATAGGAGAGCAGTCTAAATAGTCTTGATATTCTGATGTAACATTATAAGGCAAACTCTAAATAGGATAAGTAAGCTTTTCAAACAGAGATAGGAAATTATCTTACCCTGTGGTATTCCTTTCTCCTTGTTACCCCCATCCATTCATATAAAAATAATACAGTCATGCACCGCATAACGATGTTTCGGTCAATGACAGACCACATGTACAACGGTGGTCCCATCAGATTAGTACCATTTAGCCTAAGTGTATAGTAGGCTATACCATCTAGGTTTGTGTAAGTACGCTCTATGATGTTCACACGACGACGAAATTGCCTAATGACGCATTTCTCAGAACGTATCCCCATCATTAAGCAACGCATGACTGTAGTTCCATTTGATGAGTCTCTGCTCTGGGCCAGGCACTGTACTAGGTGATTTATGTACATTATCTTATTAACGCCTCCTTGTAACCCTATGAAATAAGTGTTGTTATCTTCAGTTTGATGATGAAACTGAAGCTCAAAAAAGGTTGTTAATTTGCTCAAAGCTACCCAGCTGGTAAGTCTCAGAGGTAGGATTTGAGCCCAAGGCCATCTGACTCCAAACCCTGTGATCTTTCCACTTTACCATATCACCTCTCCAAGATGGATCTCTGAGACTGGGGCTCTAGGGAAGTTGACTCCCCAGCAACTGAGGGCCATGTTCCTAATATCCCTTAGCTGGTTTTGCCTCTAGTAAAGAAAGGGCTAACTAATAGTCTCAGCCCGAAGCCACTGTGGTAGAAAATATCTCAGCCTGTGCGTAGGAAAGCTGATGCCTACCTAACCAAGCTCACTAAGGCAGAGTTTCTTCTACCTCTCCCATCTTTCTGACTGGTTTATTTCTCCTTCCCCAGGTTCCTACCTGCCTTCCAGCTACTCTTTCTCCCCATATGGCAGCAAGGTCTCAGGGGGTGAAGATGCCGACAAGGCACGAGCCAGCCCCAGTGTCAGTTGTAAATCCAGCTCAGAGTCCAAAGCCCTGGACATCTTGCAGCAGCATGCCAGTCACTACAAGAGCAAGTCGCCCACGGTAAGGAAGTGCAGTGACATTGGCTGTTGTCAAAGACCAGGGCTGGCCCGGCGGGTTAAGTGTGCGCGCTCCACTGCAGTGGCCTGGGGTTCGCCGGTTCGGATCCTGGGCACACACCGACGCACTGCTTGGCAAGCCATGCTGTGGCAGCATCTCATATAAAGTGGAGGAAGATGGGCATGGATGTTAGCCCAGGGCCAGTCTTCCTCAGCAAAAAAAAAAGGGGGTGGGGAGAATTGGCTGATGTTAGCACAGGGCTGATCTCCTCACAAAAAAAAAAAAAAAGGCCAGCCCCGTGGCTTAGCGGTTAAGTGTGCGCGCTCCGCTACTGGCAGCCTGGGTTCGGATCCCCGGCACGTACCGACTCACCCCTTCTCCAGCCATGCTGAGGCCGCGTCCCACATACAGCAACTAGAAGGATGTGCAACTATGACACACAACTATCTACTGGGGCTTTGGGGGAAAAAAAAGGAGGAGGATTGGCAATAGATGTTGGCTCAGAGCCGGTCTTCCTCAGCAAAAAGAGGAGGATTAGCATGGATGTTAGCTCAGGGCTGATCTTCCTAACAAAAGAAAAAAAAAAAAAAGACCAATAAGGCCAGATTCAGGGTCTGGGAGAGGGTGGGCAGGTTCAGGTCCTGACCACAGTGCAGCTTGGCTGACTTGATGTTGGCTTCACCAGGCACCTCCTTGATTCTTAGGTGCCCCTCTAAGGAGTCATAATGTGGGCTCCAGGCATCTTGTTCTCATGTGTGTCTCACAGTAGTGCTTTGTGTCTGCTTTCCTTTCCAGATAAGTGATAAAACTTCTCAGGAGAGAGATCGGGGAGGCTGTGGGGTAGTTGGGGGTGGTGGCAGCTGTAGCAGCGTCGGGGGAGCAGGCGGAGGTGAAAGGAGTGTAGACCGGCCCCGCACCTCCCCTTCTCAGCGCCTGATGTCCACACATCACCACCACCACCACTTGGGGTACTCATTGCTCCCAGCACAGTACAACTTACCCTATGCAGCAGGTAAGTCTCTTTTCCCCACCGCCTATCTTTATGACTCCATCCCAGTAGCCTAGCCCACAGAAAGGGGCCTCCGGCAAGAATCCTTTTTTTTGAGCTTCTAATCTGTCCAGAATCCTGGCCTCCTGCTGACAGTCATTAAAGCAAATGACATTTGTTTCCTCCCTTGGAGCTTGGGGACTTGCAAACTCCTCCAGAAAATTGGCTTTGATACTCAGAAGAATAAGGAACAGGTGTTCCCACAGCCAAAGAGAAACAAGCAGCTGAGAAATAGAGCTTTACTTAGGAAAAAAAATAGAGCCTTGCTATCTAACCCCAGCCACTGTATCTGGCCAAGTATCAGATTTTTTTCTGTCAGCACCCCAAAACTCAGTGTAGCTAGGAATTCAAGGAGAAACTCCTCCCAGTACCCACACAGCTGGTAAAGAGAAAGTGCTTATCGGAGGGTTCTGGAAGTGCTCTGCTAACATGTCCTCTTTCTCACTCAGGGCTTTCTTCTACAGCCATTGTTGCCAGCCAGCAAGGCTCAACTCCCTCACTCTACCCGCCCCCCCGGAGGTGAGATTGGTAAGTAACTTTGTAATTTGGGGCAACACATAGAGCAGGGATAGTTGATACCTGGATCACAGAATCCCTGTGGAGCCTAGGTGGGGTCAGCGGTCTGGAAACGGTAGAACCCTGGCCAAGCCTCTTGTATAAGTCTCCTGTGAAGCCATGTGCATCTGAGAGGAGCTGTGGAACACATGTGCCCTAGGGAACAATACCAGCCGGCCCTGCAGTTTGTTTTCTTGGAGCGCCACCTTGTGGTTGTTTTGCCAGCCAGCTGAGTGCCTGGTCGTTTGTCCATGTTTCCCTTGCAGAACACCAAGTGCCCGGATAAAGTCAGCTTCAAGGGCCCGGATTGGCTCACCCAAGGAGGTGCTGGAGGTGCCATTTAGACATCAGTTAAATGGTGTTGATCATCCTGTTTGCCGTTCCAACCATGACCGAAGGCAGACCCTTGGCTATCTCACCTCCACCAGACCCCTGGACTCCCCAACCTTCCCTCTTCCTCAGGAGCTGGAGAGCTGGTACTTAGCAAAAATATTTATTCTCTCGGCCACAGTTGTGACTGTTGTGGCCTCTGTGGAGATGAAGGCACGGGGAGCAAACAGGGGAACATGGCCTCAGCCCAGAGAAGTCACTGCTTTGTTCCCCAAGCCCCTGGTCAGCTGCCAGAGCAGTACCACATCCCGCCCCCCTGCCCCCGGGGAGGGACCCCGCCAAGCACTGGGTAAGGTCTGACGATAGCACAGCAGCCATACCCCTCTCACCATCATAATCACCATCACCAGATCCTGCATCTCCCCAGCGATTTGGGCCCTGGGAACTGGCAGCACGTGGAGGAATTAGAATCTCAGGAAAGAAATTGGGGGCTGTTTTCTCTGTAATTGTGAAAACAAGGTCTTCAAATATGAAGACTTCTCCTCTCTCACATGAGCACATATAAATGCTCAGAGCCTATCCTGTAAAGGAAGACCAAGGCATTGCCCCACTGTGGCCTTGGGCTACCTGTCAGACAGAGGGCCAGGGGTCCCAACACCAGCACAGGGCTCCCCAGGGATACTGGGAGTAAGCTGGAGCTGGAGCATGAATGGAGTCTGTGAAATAGAACCTACATCCCCACTAAGTCCTGCTGCTTCTTAGCCCCCAACTCCTTGCCCTTTTCTCTCTTCTCTCCTGACCCCTTGGTGCCTTTCCCAGGGGATCCCCATGCTGATCTCTGCTCTTCTTTTCCACTGCTTGGCTCTTAAGACTCAGGCAGGTAAAATAGTATTCCCCCCAGCATGGGGAGCTTTGGAGTCTGCCAGGTCACCTTAGGGCAAGGCCCAGGAGGCAGACCCTGGGAGCACCCAGCAGTTCTTAGAGATGTCCTATCCATTCAGCCATCTGAGTATCCTCCTCATTTAGGGCCACAAATGTATACAGCCCAGTTCCTCTGTATACAGGTACATGATTTTATATAGCTCAATCTGTAACCCCATGTGTGCCAACATAAGCCGTGTTTGTTTGTAACACACGTTTTTATTTTAGGGGCCATTGACCCTGGGAGGTTATGTGTTCCTTAGACCCTGGGATAACACATCCAAGCCATTACTCCTCAGAGCCACAGAGGTGTGGTGGTGTGCTTTGAGGCAGCAGATGTTTCTCTGCTCTCATTAAAAATGCTGTCTCCCAGTCCAGGCTTTATGCTCTTTGTACTAGGAGAGTAACGATGATTTGGTAACTTTATTTAGTCACTTTTTCCCCAAGGTTTGGGTAGCTTTAGTTCTTACTTTTCTTTTGAGATATCATCCCTTTGTTCCCCTCCTCTACTATCTTTCCTTGACCTTCTGGATTGAGAGAGAGATAAAGACTGACAGATACCAGCCTAGGCTAGAGGGGGGTATTTGTGACCAGAGTGCCAAAAGTGACCAATATAGAGCAGAGGCTTGGCTCTGACTCAGTTGGGGCCTGGAGGTGGAGGACAGTAAGCACAATGCACAGCTAGCCTGCTTCCCAAGATCCTTGGAGGCCTCCTCCAGATAGGCTTAGGGTCATTTGCCCAAGAGCAGCCCCTCTGACCTATAGACCTTTCCTCTAGGTTTTCATGTCCTTGTTTTTGTTCAAGTTGGGTTCTGAGCCCTTCCAAAACAACCCGCTATTTTAGACCTCTTAGGAGGCCCCCAAGCAGCATCCCTTTCCCCCATCATCCCCTCTGCCTCCTGTTGCCCCAGCGGGCAGTGCTCTGAGCAGTGACTTCCCTTTCATCTATGGAAGTAGTTAGCCCCACCTAACCTGAGTCATCCCCAAGAGGATGACTCTGAATTTCAGTCTGATTATGCCCTCCCGGGCTCTTGTGGGATGGAGCCAAGGGCCCATCTCTGTTCCTGTTTGTTTTTAAATATTGTTGTGTGTTTTCTGTCTGTGGCGCTGGCTTACAGCGTGCTCTGTACATATTGTAAAGAAACTGTTTGGAATAATTTTCTTTCCCATTGGGCAGGCATGGCCTTGCATTCCTGCCCTTTCCGCTTTGTTCTTTAACACAGAGAAGAGGAACTTCTGTATTAGCAGGGCAGCCTTGGGTTCTGCAGAAGGCAACGGCTTTTTCTTTTCCTTAAACATTTGGCTCTTTGATCCTTATATCCAAGTCCCCCTTGAAGAGTAGGAGCTGTACTACCCAAAAGAGCAGGTGAAAGCAGCAGTGGCAGGATGGCACTGCCTTTTCCTGATCCCTGATCCTCCGAGTCCCCAATCCTTGCCAAGTCCAATCTTCCCTCCTTGAAATAACATGAAGCAGCAGCAGCAGTAATGGAAGAAATAGAAATCCTTGATGAGTGCTGAGCGAAAGATTTGCTGTCCACCTCCAGTCACTCTGCATGGGGAGGAAACAGAGTTGGGAGTACCTGTGGCATGCATGACCTGGTCAGAGGGATGAGACATTCAGCAAGGATTCCCATACCTGCCCCCACCCCATGAGCAAAGGCTGGAAAAGTTTGCTGCTAGGGCCGCAGACCACCAGACCAAGGCTCTTTCTGAGCCACCCCAGGCCTCTACATAGACATTGCTCATCAGGGCTCCCCAGAGAGAAGCTAGAGGGAAAGAACCTCATCCCCAGGTAGGACAGCCAAGGTTTGGAGAGCTGCTCTTCAGGATTTACATCTGCTTCTTCCTCATTTAAGGTGTGCCAGTTCCCTTCATCCCCTTTCCCTGCCTGTACATGTATGAAATTTCCTTCTCTTACCTCACCCTCTCCACACATCTCAAGGTCAAAGGACCACATGCAGAAGGGTTAAGAGGGCACCCCATAAAATGAAATGATGATTCTTGAATCTCTTCTCTCCAGGCTCCAAGGTGGGGTGGGAGGCCTTGGTTCGGGAGTGGGAGGGTAAGACTGCAGAAGGGCTAGAGAGTTATTGTATACGGGCTTTGAGGTCATATATCACTTATTATCCCATATACCCTATCACCATCTCAGTGTCTACTCTGATGCCCCCAGGATTCAACTGGGCAGCTAGTTGGCCCCGTGATTCTGGGCCTTTGTCATTTGTTTTATTAATAGGACATCCCAGGAAGCTTTCTGATGATCCTCTGCCATGGGCCCCTCCTGGGATTGAGCCCCTCCCAGGCCCCATCCCCAGCCCCTCCTGCCCCAGCCCACCCGCTTGCCTTGGTGCTCAGCCCCCCATTGGGAGCAGGTTGGGGCGAGCTGGAGGCCCGGGCTGGAGGGGCAGTGTTGCTGTTCATAGCTTTTGTTCCGTTGGCGTTGCTCTGTTGGATTTAATTTCAGTCTTCCTGATTCTTCCCTTCTGTAAAATGTACATTACCAAGTTCCTTGTTTTTTTATATATATATATAAATATATATATATACAAACTGTACTCTTTTTGCCTTTGTACATTCAGGCAAGAAGAGAAAATAAATCTTTTTAAGAGACAATCACAAATCTGTGAGGGCTGCTGGTTATTTCTCCTGGAGTTTGCTGCTAAGCTGCCTCCTCCTTCCTCTCCACTTTTCCGTTCTCCCTCAGCTTTCCTAATCTTCCTGGTCCTGCTCCATATGCATCCTCAGCTCCACCTTCCCTGGCTGATGGCAAGCTGTTGAATCCAGTGTCCAGACTAACTGCCCTGCAGCCCTTTCCTACCCAGCAGTGTTTTTTTTCTGGCTTGGCCACTGGCTTATCCAGGAGCTTTATCCTGTGCCCTGGCCTCTCCTGTCTTCTCCATTAGATCCTGTTCACCGAAGTGGCTTTGGACCCCTGGGTACTCTGGGACCTGTCTCCCGGAGGCCCTGGCTTTGGACACACCTGTAAAACTATGCAGCTGGGAGCTCTCTGCCTAAGAATTTGCACTACTTAAACCTGCCTGGGAGTTAGAATGGATGGTTTTTAAGAATGAGTGGGAAACTACCCCCTAACACTCCCTGCAGATTCCAGCCTCCAAAGTGCTCTGATCCAGAGTCCAGAGAATCACTCCTGGCTGGCGGACTCCTATGGCTTGCCCCCTCAGAACAAGGGCTAAGGGTTTATGCGTCAAGAGCATTTGATCACAATTTCAAAGAGTGGTACATTCTGAAACCACAGCCCAACCAAACCATTGTTCGGCCTCTTGAACATTCTCCTTTTCCTCTGGTTTCCTCCTCCCCCTTTTTTCCCCTTTCTACTTCTTTTTCTTAATTGGCTTTGGAATTGAAGTATATTTTTAAATTATTTGTTGTATTTATTGAATAAAGTTTTTAATGTCCCTGTTCTTAAATTTAGACTTAGTTTGCCTTTCACCTATTTCCCCTATCCCACTTCACCACCCTCCAAAATAGTCCACCTTCTAAGTTGCTTTTTTAATTGGAGTGCAGCTTTAGGGTACCAGATTTCTTTCCTATCAGTGGTCTTATCTAGCAAAAGCTTTTCTTTTTGAAAGGGAAATCTTAACTGTACTTGGGTTTCCAGTTCAGTCCTCCTAACTCGGACTGTATTAAAGATAATCCACCAGCAGATGGCAGCAGACTCTCAGGTGTGTTTCCTGTCTGCTCTGCTAGCTTAGAGGACAATTAAAGGACTGAGTTTTGTCTTGGTTCTTTATCCCTCTTGTAGATTCCTTGGGTTTGAGTTTTAACATCTGAATCCTAAACTGCCTACATTAACTTGGCCATTGTCAGCATCCACATGGATCTCTGTGGTAAATATCTCACTATAGTGACCATTTTTCAGTCACTTTATGCTGCCTCTAGGGGTTATCTGCTCAGTGGTGGACATCTTCAAGCCCTTCTTATTTCACTCGAATGTCTCTAGGCTCAGACCTTCTACTAATACTGTGGGGGGTGGAGGTGTTGAGTTCACATCTTCTAATGAATACCGGGTAGAGTCCAAGTGGAACAACGTGGCCCAGCATGAAAACACAAGTAAGCTCCACACAGAACAATGTGAAAATGGGCCACAGACTAAGAGAAACTAAGGACAGCCACAGCTCAACAGTAGATAGATAGTTCCAAAGCTGTAGGAGGTGGAAGAACACGCTGAGCTCTTGGGAAAATGGAAGCAAAAGGGGAAAAAAAATGCTGGTAAGCCTGTGATAAATTAAAAAAGAACATAAGTGAAGAGGATTCTAGCCGCCTCTAGTGCCACTGAGAGCTTATTCATCAGACTGGTGGTGAGAGGGGAATGGCAGCCATACCTTAGGGCACTGGGCTCCAAAAGGGGAAAACTATTTTCCTAGGGAAGGTGTGTGCTGCTTCCTTCGGACACCTCCAGGAACAGGAATTTCGGGCAGCTCCATGCAAAAGCCAAAACCTGGTTTTAGGATCCAGCCTTCTATACAAAAGGAAGAACTAAGAATGGCTCAGATCCTGAATATAGCCTTTATTCTGGATGAAGCTGATGTGTACAGACCTGTCTCTTTAGGGGGCTCTGGCAGTATGTGTCCCAGACTCCTGGCAACCCCACATTTTGCAATGTAATGTGGGCCCAGAGACCTCGGCCAGTTGATCTGTCCTGATGCACTGCAGCTTTTTCCCTGAGAAGCACGTATCACACCCCTACTAGGTTAGGCTCTAGACTTAAAAGAGTAGTGGTAGGAAGCTGATCCTGGTACAGGAATAAAGACCAGACCAACCACAACTTTAAATCAGTTTATTGACACAAAAACACAACACACTTGCCTCCCTGGCACTCCCACCCCCCCTTACCCAATCTAGATCACTCCCTCTTCTTATCCCCTTAGAACAAGCTGTTTAGTGAAAACAGAAAAGGGCAGGCCACTTCTACACCCCCAGTCCCACCCCTAAGCCCTGTGGAGCAGGGTCTCAGGCACTACTCAGAACCTGTTAGAGAGGGAGGGTGGGCAGTTAGCACTATGCTCAGCCAGCCAGAGGCATCCAGTCCCTAAGAACAGATTCCCCCACAATCCCCAGGCCCTGAGCTGCTATTCTTCTTCCTCTCTGCTCTTTGTGACCCTAGGAAGGAGACACCTTAGGGCCTGGGCCTGCAGCCAGGAGCAAGAACTTCTGGCTTTGATTTGAGAACTGGAGTTTGGCTACTTTTTTTTAAGGCCCAGGCACCCCAAAAAAAGCCCTGGTGGTGGGAGTGAACTTCAATGCCCCTATTTAAAATGCACTGATAACATTAAACAGATTAAGCCAGCTTAACCAAATGCCAGAATAACAGTAAACTCTAAAGGAGGGGTCAGACCTGCTTTCACCAGGCCAGACACAGATGCACAGAGAAGCCCCAGTGGAGTGTCAAAAAAACAACTCAAGGACACTGCCCAGGGGCTGAAAAGCCTATACTCAGGAACCCTTGGGGTGACAGGAAGCAAGGAAAGAAAATACACAAGTCTTAAAAACCAAAAAAAAAAACCCCAACAGCAGGGTAACCAGAGCCTGACAGTGCTGCCCAACAGCCCTCCAGGCCTTGCCCCTGGACCCAGACAGTCCCTCCCCTTCTAGGCAATGTCCTCCCCTAGGCTAGATAGAGCACATCACACAGCGCAGTTTAAAAAGCTTCTAATGCCAGTTCATAAACATCTTCATTTACTATTGGTGATTACATGTGAATAATATGTTTATACTGTTCTTTATGGAAAACAATTTCAACAAGTCAACTCCAAGAACACAATAGGCAACCCTCACCCCGAGCCCCTCAGCGTCCTTTCCTAGACAGCAAGGAGCCCCCTCCTCTGTCCCAGGGCTACCTAACTTCCCCTCTTCCCCTACTGTGGCTCTTGGGCAAAGCATCCTCTATGACCGTTAGTCCTCATCGGACAAGTTCTGGTCCAGGGAATAAACCATGAACATCACATCTGGCCGAGAGGGGACACAGGGATGGCCTGGACGCACAATCTCAAAGCCCAAGAAGCTGAAGGTCTTCAGGAGTGGAGCTGCAGAAGATAAGAGTGTAAAAAGGATTCTGATAAGAAACAAGGGTAGGCTCAAATGGAGGGAAAACACAAGACAAAGATGGAATAAATAAGCACTAGGCCTTTACTAAGGGACTTATGGGCACTCCCACCCCCATGATTTCCCAGGGTTTGTATGGCAAGCTCAAGAGCCCCTCCCCCCACTGTCTGGGAGCCCCCTTTTCCCCTCCCCAGTTTCCCACTGTCTGGGCAGTAGGTCTCAGGTTGCTTTGACTCCTCACCTCTGTCTTCCCGGCCCTTCCTGAAGCAGATGAAGACGTAGTTCACTTTCATCTTCTCTTCAGCAAACTCTAGCAGTGCTAACAATCTGCAAGAAGTAAAAGAAAACCACTCAGGCCCACTACCACTTCTCTAGACTTCCCACCCACCCCAAAAAAAGGGCTTTCTGAGGCATACGGCCAGCATTATAAATAGGGAAGCTCCAGGAGGAAGGTTCTTACTTCAAGACCCCAGGAACCCTGAGTTTAGAAGGAAAAAAGTCACAATCCCAAAGAAAAATGTTATTGAATTATCTCTTCCTGGAATAGGGGTTCTTCATCTGAAATTAACACTAACCAACTTAATGCAGTTCACATAATAGTATGGGGCCTAGGAAGAGAACCCAGTTTTTCAGGGGTCTTCCAAAGTTGCCAAGTTTGATAATGACCACCTGCCACTGAGAGGGACTCTGGGCCCTAACACTGCCTAAAAGGATTTCCTCAAGAGGCTGGGGCCACTCAAGAGAACTCCGTCCTCAGGACTGTTTCTTACACACCTGGCTGCTAGGAGGGCCTTGCCCAATCCATCGAAATCCCACTGTTATCTCTCAGCTTCCCAGCCTTTTCAACTGCACCATTGTGTGGTGGCTCAAGGGGGATTTAATGTCTGCTGAGAAGAGTGAACCATGGGGCCATTAAATGACAGGGATTTGGTTAATGTGATAATTATCTGCTTTAATTATAACCTAGAGCAGGCCTGTTTTACTGGCTAAAAATAATAGGTTACAAAATGATATCTGCTTGGCAAGCCTAGAGCTAGGGGAGAAGGCAGACTCCCTACTCATCTGTTAGCCCCAGTAAGCACAGGCCCTTTTCTGGAATGGAACCTCCTTCCCTGTTTGCTCCTTCCCCTTCCCCAGCACTTGCTCCTTACCCTTCTTTGCTCCCATCAGCTAATAATCCATCTGGGATTTCTATAAACAGGCTCTGGCTGGACAGGACTGCATCCCAGGAAGAGACCTTCACTTCAGTGACCTCATACTGGAAGTGGACGATGTGAGGTTTTCCATCGTTCACAGGGAGGTCCTGGGTCACAGTGAGCTTCTCGTCCTGAGGAGATCAGATCAGAGGACCAGGTCACTACTACTTCTGGCCACGTCATAGGCTCCCTAACCTAGGTGGTGCTGGGAGTCCCGTTGGGCCAGTCTCAGGGTAGCATGGGATGAAGGGCATGCTGAAAATGTAGAACTGCATGCAGGCTAAATGGAGCCATCACTCATCAGGCACCAAGACCAGTTGATGTCGGCTAAAAACCAGCGTGATGGGAAGGGAAATATTTACCAAGTGTCCACTACGTGCCATGTACTGTGCAAGATGCTTTCCCATTTTCCAATCACCAAAACAAGCACTTGAGGTAGGCATTAATATCCTCATTTTAAATCTAAGGTATTAGGGGCCCAGAACAATTAAGCAACTGACCCAAGGTTCCACAGATAATAAATGGCAGAGTTGAAATTCAAACCAGGTCTCCCTGACTCAAAGCTTGCTTCCAGGGGGACTGCAGAGTCCATGTTGTCTCCCCTGGGCACAATCTCAAGAGACCAGAACTCAGCCACCCTGCTACCCTTCAACGGCAGTCTTAGGGAGAAGTTAAACCATCTTCTGGGCCTCAATCAGAGATTAAAAGGCAGCAAAGGGCTGGCTGCCCACCCCAGCACAGATCACTCTCAGGGTAGATTCCCAGGGTTCTCTCAAGTTCCTGGGCTGTGCCCTATGCTGCCAGGGTGATAGGTGATTGAGATGCAAGGCCACCTTCTCCTTACCACCCACCTCCACACCACCCCACCCGACCCCCATCAGGCTGGTCAGGGAGAGAAATCAGAATGCCCAAGGGTCAAGGACAATGGGAAAACTGTTCCTCCTGGCCCTTGGTATTTCTCAAGAGAAACTCAGGAGCAGCACCAGAAAGAGTTCTCGCACCCCTCCCATCCACCATTCTCCCTCCCACTCAGGACCCTAACGTGCTGACCACCAAGCTAAGAAGATGGCAGAGTGTTTGCTTGGTGCTGATAGCTTCCTTCTAGTTCTCACCAAAAGCTATATAGCAGCCTCAGTTGAAAGAGTCCTTCCCAATCCCCCTACTGGCCTTGCCTAAGAGAAAACTAAAGAAAGTGATTACTGCCCTTAAGCAGCAGCTCAGTGGAGTCTGAGAATGCTCTGCTCCAAGCCTTCCACCCCTGAGTCCTCCTTACCTTATATATTAGAGCTGAGAGAGAAGGATCCCTGCTGCCCCCTCGCCCACCGGGGATCTTCGACAGTGGGTGAGGGGCATCAGGAGCACCACAGAGGCCCCGGAACAATGTGCCTGCAGCACTGGAGCTGGGGACAGTTACTCAAAGGCAAAATACTACTGCAAGAGACAGAGAAGGTGAGACAGTAAACACGAAGACCTGAAGATTTAACTCAGCATCCCACCCCAACCCCTAAACAAGTGCTCCAAGGCTATACCACTGCCCCAGTCCTTTCAGCTTCAACTTTCAGAACTACTACTGCTCTCTTAAAGGGCGGGAACCCACCATCCTACAGGGAGTAGGGAGTCCCAGAAGGCTAAGGGAGTCCAGCTGGATATGTCTCACCAGAGGAGCACCTGTCAAACATCAAACAAATCTCTATGGTGCTGGCAGACCTTGGCAGGAACCAGATCCTGGTCTGCCTGCTAGGCCTAGAGCCCTGTACCCTCCACCAACACCTTTCTTACCCCAACAGTGCCTCAACACCTACATGGCTGAACGGCAAAGCCTATACAATCATTTCAGGCTGGAGAGGCATATGGGCCTCAGGAAGTCACATGGGCTGGGTACCTAGTCCCTGAGGAACTCCCAAGTCCACTTTTCCAATGATGGCCTCCTCCCTGATCTAAACAAAGTAACTGGACAAGAAATCACTTACCCAGATCCCTCTAGAGTCAAGAACTGAATTAAATCCAGGGATTTGGCTCCCAGAGAGGAGGTGCACTACAGTACAGAGTATTATGGTATCTGAGTTTGTCCATGGTGTGCCACCAAATGCTGGGCTTCCTTGCCCTTCTTTGCTAGAATATGACCTGGGCCTGGGAGTTCAGGTAATACTGATATGATCAGAAAGGACACTCAGGGGCGTGTGTACTGGGGGGGTTGGGGCTTTGCTGGGAGGAGGTATGCATGCTGGGACCTGAGTAAGGAAGCCAATCATCAGATGGATCACAGACGATGAAAGGGTCCTAAAGGAGCTCCCTGTCACCTCCAGGTGTGTGCCCTTACTGCCACTATGACTTTTAGGTGGGTGGACCCAAGAGGGCTCTAAATCTGCTCCACTGCTTTCTTGAATCCGATATGGTGGTTCCTTAGGCCGAGACATAGTTCACTCCACAGGCCAACAGCAAGTGAAACAGAGAAGAGGTAAATTGTCTGTGCATGTACACAATGACTCAGCAAAAGGCCTGTCCCACAGCCCCAACACACCAGCCTCGGGGCAGCTGGAATGCAATGGATAACATATATGGGAGGGTGGTGCACTGATGTGCTGGAGCCAGCTCATATGACAGCACGTCTCTTCCCAACTATGTGTTTAGTGATGTCACGTTGGTAGCTTCAGTAAGCCACAGGGTAGCCTTTACACCACAGAAATCAGCAAATGCTACAAATCAAGGCTTTTTCTCCTGAAAACTAGTTGTAAAATGATGCGAGCCACCATTCTTCACACTGTCCTTTGCTTTATATGATATGGCATGCCAGATTAGAGTTCTTCACTAGGCTCAGAGTCAAAGAACTGAACTCACACCTAACATGGCAATGGTACAATAACCAAAGGGGCAGCCCACTAAGACCCTCAGTACTAAGAGACCTGTATGAGCATTCCAGCTGAGATAGGAAGCCCAAACCCATCACTGCTCTTGCTCGGCTCCTCTTTCTCTCAAGAATTTCAACCAGGGGCCTGAAATTACACTTGGAAATTTCACTGGGAGATGGAGTTCCCAGAGCAGTGTCAGTAGACCTGGAACAGCATCAGCACCTGAGAGTAATAACCACATGCACCACCTCCTGCCTCCTCTGGAAAGCCTCAGGGCATCCTCAACCCGCGCCTCCCCCACCCCCGCCCAGCACACTCAGCCTCACCAACTGCTACTAGCACAAGAGGCATGACAGAGGACTACGCTGACTGTTTTCAAAGATGGGACTTATCTTCTAGGGAGGGACAATGAGCTGTTATCATCCCCCTTCCAATGTGTTAAGGGATAGAATAGTGTCCAGGCCGGAAAAAAATAAGACAAGGGTGGAGGTTTCCCCAAGCAAAGGCACACACATGCCCCATACGATATGATTCCCTCCCCATTCCCTAGTGACCACTTCAGGCCTCTGTTGAGGTTCCTGCTGGAGCACCAGGAAGGCTGGGCCACTGGAGAAAGCTGGCTTGCTTGTATTGGTCAGTGGAACTAGCCAAAGACTGAGCAAACCTCTGGGGTAGATAGATGAGATGCAGCCTTGTATACTAGGAGAATTGTGGGTTCACAAAACACCAGATCACCAAAGCTCTTGTAGTTCTAGACTTCTGGTGCTAACTCACTTAACTTCAGACTCCTACTTCCTGAGAAATGATTCCTCAACAGTCTTCTGATGGGAGAGCTACATTCAACTCCTGACCTGCATATCAACCACTATCTTGATTCTAAGCTAATTTTTGCTTGGAAATGGCAGAAACAATGGGGCCAACCCACCGAAAAGATCAGACTAAGGTGGGTTTTCTTTTTTTTAGGTCCAGAATCCCCTTTGTCTTCCTAGAAATAATCCCTAGAGCCTGCCCTATGTCTAGCACTAATCTACAAGCTCCTGATATTTCTGGTGTCCTGATCTCGCTCCCCTTCAAATAAATGCAAGAAGTCTATTCCATGGTAACAAATCATTTACTTTCCTACTCTCACACACAAGGATCCTGGAAACTCTTTCCTCCTCCCCCTCAAAGTCTGCACGAAAAAGAAAGTGTGTGTGTGAGTAGGGGGAGAAGAGTGTTTCAGGCCCCCACCTTGGGATCCAGTTCCAGCTCCCTAAGAGAAACAGCTGGCGTTTGGGATAAGCTTGGTTGATAGTAGATCACAATCCATAATTATCTTCATCATCCATCATAATGGATCTGTTTTTAGTTACTTGCTCTGAATGGAAAATTGCTTCTTTCAAAAAACCTAACTGTTATTTCTGAAGTGAGAAAGGAAGGGTACATATATGTGGTGGTTAAAGAAATTAAGGGGCATGAAATTGCCTGGCAATGGCTTTCTCTTCTTGTATTGGTTTTAGTGTTCACAATGGTATTATAGCAACAGTGAACAGTGAATACTAGAGGAAGTGGCTTCTAAACCCAAGTCTTCCTGTCACAAGATCCAAACCAGGTTAGGTTTCATATTCGGTTCAGTGTGTTTCTATGGGCTCCAATGCCGAGCTTTTTCCATTCCTGCTCACTCTCCACTGGGGGGCAGGATGGTTTAATCTTTACCACCAAAAGGATGATTTAAGAAGCTCAGTCTAGAGGCTGAAAAGATCAGGCTGATTAAGGAGAATCAAACATATCCGACTAAACCCAAACATCCAGCTAGGCTGGTCCTGCTTTCACAAGAGAAGAAAGAAATACACCATGCTGGCAATGAGGGTATCCAAGTTAATTCGGAAGAGAGATGGGAGATTAGAACTGATCTGTTAGTGCCTTTTCTCAGTTGTTATCAGACATGCCCTTGGAAACACTCCTCAGGATACATATGAGTGCCACCAACATATCACATCCTGCTGCCTCTAATTTACAGCATTCTGTGAAACTTGTCTGAAATGTCCTTAAGCAGTTATAATTTCATACACTGGCTCCAGACAGGCAGTGTACGCAGCAGATGTATTCCTGGGGAATGTTACCAGTAAATCAAATTTTTATAATTCAAATCCTGTTTTTAAATCTCTAGGGAGCTTACTATTTAAAGGAAGTAACCTCAAATCTCTTGATAAAGGATCTCCTGTTAAAGAATCACTTCCAGTTGACTCTATGTCAGTTCTGATTTTTATATTTAGTTTGCTCAAAACAGGGTATATAGCCTGCTACATAGAGATTTAATATAAAAGTAATTCTGTGGCTAACTTGCATTCAGCTACATTTAACAAATACTTGAATTCATAGTCTCCTTGATATACTTTAATCATGTTTCACTTTAATCAGTTGCCTGACCTTGTTCAAGTCTGCACCCTTTCTCTCTGGTTTCCATTACCTGGTTAGAGGAGAGCCTTAGTCTTACCTAGCTTGTGTCATCAAGTGAAAAGACATAAAAACCACATTCCCAAGCATTCTACCTCATCCCCCTTTTCCTTTTCTTTTTTTTTTTTTTTTTTGTGAGGAAGATCGGCCCTGAGCTAACATCTGCCAATCCTCCTCTTGCTGAGGAAGACTGGCCCTGGGCTAACATCGTGCCCATCTTCCTCCACTTTATATGGGACACCACCACAGCATGGCTTGACAAGTGGTGCATCAGTGCGTGCCCGGGATCCGAACCGGTGAACCCCGGGCCACCAGAGCGGAGCGTGTGCACTTAACCGCTTGCGCCACCAGGCCGGCCCCTCATCTCTTTTTCAACCCCTGCTGACCCATTCCTGTCTCAGGCCCTGCCTCATACAACACTCTCTAGGCTGCTCTGACTTCCCTCACATAAGCTGCTTTTACTGAGACTAGGAAGGTCTCTGATGACTAATCCCTATGCAAAGAGGGACCAATCCAGGGCTGCCATCACACTTAGCTAAAAATGAAATAAGAAGAAAGGTGGGAGGTGATGGCCACCTCCAGTCTAGTGTGACCATAGAGGCTGATTTCCAGCTACCAATTCCCTTCCCATACGAGAAAGCGGCCCTGGTCAGATGCCAGGTATAAGTCATTTCACTAGGACTGTTCTGTGTGCCAAAGGGAGTCTACTTGCTAAGCACGATTATAAGGAAAATGACATCACCACTCTGAATCACAGACTGAAAGCAAAACTGGGTTTTGGTTGATTCTCCACAAGAAACACACTTAACGGTGGCAGCTAGAATATCTGTGCCTCTGAGGTTTGCTTATTACACAGCTGATATTGGTACATCTTCTGCCAAAGGTAAGCACAACCACATATGCTACCAGAGGTGGGTGGATAGCTAGGTCATTATGCTTTAAAATAAGACCTTAATTTTACATTTTAAGTACCTCAATCTAGTTTTTATAGTAAGCTCATCACTCAGTTCCAGCCTCTCTTCCCAGGGTAGAATTACTTCATTGTTTATATAGTATCAAAGGCCTAGGAAATTTTCATAAGGCTTATCTTGTACAAAGCCTTTTAATTCTTCTGTTGCTAAAAGGAAACTACCTGTTTTGTTCACTTCGAGTAACAAAATTCTTGCTCACCTACTTGGCCATTTCTGGTCTATAGCTTTCAATGAGGCTTCACAGCCTTCCAAATCATGGCACCAACTTGAATCAACACTGCATACTGTTTCAAAAAGGGATGAATTACTCATTTTTTTTCCTAGAGATGCACATATGTAACATCCCTCTACTCCATTCCTCAGTCCCCTTTTTTAAATTTCTGAGCAGCTCTGAGGCTAAATTTGGATTTCTTGGCAGAGTGAGGAATTACTATTATTAGTCCACGCTGCTTTCCGAAGCATACCTCCAGTTTGGGGGGATTCTTGACTATAGTAGGAGTCTCTTTCTCTCTGTGGGATGACCTTGAAGGCACATCATAGGAAAACTTGCTCTCCCTACCACCCCACCCCCAACAAGCCATAGTGCCAATAAATAAGGAATAACCAAAACCAAATTCTTTGGGAGAGAGACAGAAATTCCATTATTCAGGGAACCATTCAGTGAAGATGCTCAGGGTGGCTCTGATGTGCTCTTGTGCCCTGCCCATCCCCCAGAAAAAGCACCTGTAGAACCAAATGCTTTTCCTCACAGCCCATCAGACACAAACTGATTATAATATGGATATCAAGCCAGGGTGAGCTCTTCCCCACATACAGTACCGTCACGAGCTACTAAGCAAGCCCTAGACTGAGACTGTCCTCCTCCCCCAACAAATCCAGGGAAAGAAAAATCATTGATTTCCTTGGATTTAAACCTCATGTTCAAAAACCATAATAAAAATGCTTGTACTGGCGTCCCCTTCCCTCCCCTACCACGGGAATTTTGACATTTTGGAGGTGCTAATCAGAATGAAACTGGAAAGGAAGAGCCTTGTTTTCAAAACATACTGTGTTGCTCCTCTGCAACTATTTCTTCCAGGAAACCAAGCCTCCACCTCTAGAGTATTTGACTGGAGCCATGGAAGCTGGAAAGCCCATCCCCCACCCAAAGGGAGCTAAACTCCTAGCCAGCTACCCCCTCGGCAGATACAAAACACCAAGAACTCTGACTGGGAAGAATATCCGGCTCCTATCCGGATCCCTAGTTAGAGCTCCAAGAGGATTCCTTTTAAAACCTTAGGGGCAGGCCAGAGGAGGCTGGGAAACATGCTATGGAAACAGGATTGCCATAACTCAAAGAAACCAGACACTGCACACAACACCCCACCCCCAGGCCAAAGTGGAGGAGCCTGATCCAAGTCCTTGCTACTGCCCAGGCCCTGGCAGGCAGCTGGCTCCTCCCTCCACCTGCCTTTCATACAGCCAAACCCCTCAAATTACCAGCACACTAAGCAAGGGCCCTGGAGACAAGCAAGCCTGTTTTGCCACTTAGGAATCTGGACGGAATCTTCAAGTTAAGCGCACCCAACCCCCTCTTTTTACATGTAAGCACACTGGCTAAGCTAGAACCAGAACTCAGGTCTCTCAACCTTGCAGGCGGTGAAGACCCTTATGTTTTGGTCCCAAGTGCTCAGGGCTCAGCGGGCAAAGGATTTAGCACCCAGACCAGTTCAGTCTGGAGGACTCCAGGAAATGCCTGCTGAGACCACACCACCTTCCGAACGCCACTGAGGAAACAAAAACATAAGTAATAGGAAAGAAAATCCATCTCACATACCCCTTTCATGGGTTTTCCTGTAGGTTCCTCTGCTTCCCTCCACCCCTGCACTTCATCCTGCGCTTTCTCCTACCTGTTGTCTACCCTCAGCACACACAGCCTTCCTTATCACAAGTAACAGCTTTTGCATCTAGCACCATCCAAGTATACATCCACCTCCACCTCCTCAGCTCCAGAGGGGCTGGGTTAGAGAAGATGGAATAAAAGAGGGGACTGCAAAGGGAAATGGACATGGAGAGTCTCAGAAAAGGAAAATATAACAACAGAATGGGACTGTAGGTAAAGAGGGCTTGGCAGGTAGGGATAATGGGTCAAAGAGAACCATAACAAAACAGGAAATAAGGAGTGAATTTTCTTTCTGCATGTAGGGAAGAAATGGGAGTGTGGGAGCTACATAAGAGTCGGAGAACTAAGGGAAGAAAATGGCTAATAGCTGCGAACTGCGTAACTCGATGTAGGAAAATTTAAGAGGCTGTTGCGGGTATCTTGGGTATTTTTGGACAGTACCTAGGAGAGAAAGGCTAAGAAATCCCTGAAGAAAAAGCCCTTTTCAGCAGAGTAAAGGCTGATACCCACTAAAGTATATGATAGGAAGGGTCTTCTGGGCGGTTAGGGGGAAGGGGAGGCAGTGTTTCTCAACCCTGTCTGCACATTAGAAAGAATTACCCAGGGAGCTTTAAAAATATATACCAATAACCAGGCCCCACCCTAGGCCAATTACACCAGATCTCTGAAGGTGGGGTACAGGGACTGATTTTTCAAATGTGCAGCCAGGGTTGAGAAACACTGAGATACAAGAAAAGCTGAAAACCCAGCTGGAATATTTAAGGATGGTGTTGCTAAAGGACTTGGAAATGGCAAGTTAGAGATCATTTTTGTGAGAAGGGAACCTGAGTCTGAGACGAACCTTAAGTGGTAGTTAGAGCCCTATGTGAAGAAAAGCAATAAAGAAGGCTATGTTTGTAAGAGGAACTAAAGTCTAGTTTTGGACAGACCATGGCACAATTTAAGGAAGATGTGCAGGGAATCAATCTACTTGCAAAACGAGGCCCAAGTGAGGGCCAGAGGCCATAAGGCCAAATCTGGGGACAAAGAGTCTGGTGTGGGGAACTAATGAGCTTCAGACTCATTTTGGCAGGGGCAGCAACAAGTCTAGGGAAAAAATGAGGAAGAGAATTAGACCCAAATTGTAAATGGAAGCCATTCTGATATATAAGAAACAATTGGGGTAAAAGATTGTGGGGAATCAGGAAATTATGAAACAGTTTCAAAGAAGCACTTGGGGCAGAAATATGGGATATGTTTGAGGGAGAGATGGATGACAAGGGCTGCCTTGGAGAAAAAGAGGAGAGGTGAAGAGAGGAAAATTGAAATGATGAATTCTGCCTAGTTTGGCCAGTGGGAAGTATATGTGATGCAAGTTTAGAAAACCACTGGTGCTCAGTTTCAGAAAGGTGTGCAGCCTTTCTGTCCAATTAATAGGGGAAGGCTGGGGTCATATTTTGAGGGAGGAAACTTGCAAAGGCCCAGTGTCCAGAGTATGGGGTCTGACTTGAAGGCACCAGAGGTACAGGGAAAGGGGGTAGGCCTTCAGTAGAAGCAGGGTGGGCTGAGTTCTGTGATCTAATAATCTAAAGACAGGGTTCAGTTAAGATGAAAGGATTAAGAGTAAAGATGAGTTTCAGTTGAGAGAAAGTGTTTAAAGGGTAGGAGTGTTTAGAAGAGTGTTGGGGGGAACTCCATTATGGAAATAGGACAGAGGATGGGAATCAAGTCCACAATGTTTGAGAAATAAAAGGAATGAGGTTGGGAGACAGGGAAAATGGGGCCTAACCGGAAAAGGGGTGTCAAGGGAGGAGGGGAGGGAAAAGATGAAGCTAGACTGCGGGACCAAGGGGAGAGCTGGGCATCATTGTAAAGACTTATTAGGCCTGAGGAGAGGGGGGGAGGGTGATGGGTGGGGGTAAAGGGTACAATTAAGAACTGACGGATGGAGCCTGACTTGGGGGGGAGGGGGCGGCAGTGATAAGAGAAGGGTCTGGTTAGAGGGTGCAATTCGAATTAGGGAAGGGATTCAAAGAGATGGGTTAAGTGACTTAAAAGGGGAGGAAGACCGATTTGGGGAAGATGGGAAACAATCTGGAGAGCCTGGATGAGTAAAAAAGCCCAGTTTGGGGAATGGGGCACCGTTCGGCGGGGCCGAAGGCAAATGGGGACTTGACTGGACGCCTGGATCCGGGTTTGTGCGGGCTTTACCGGAGGAGGAGGCCCGGATGAGGGGGATGGGCCGGGCTGGAGGGAAGGGGCTAAAGGACGGAAGGAGGCCCCGTTGCGGGGCTGGGGCTCAGACTGGGGGGCTGAAGTGGAGAAGGGACCCAGTGGGAGGCAGATGGGGCCCCGTTGGGCGGGCGGGGACCCGCTGGGTGGTGGGGGAGGAGGCCTTCTGAAGCAGATGACCGGGGGATGGGGGCGGGGAGCCTGGGCCGGGCCGTTACCTGTCCTGGGTGTTTATCATCCTCGGCGGCTCTGCTCAGGGTGGGAGGAGGCGGCGCAGGGAGTGGGTAGGTGGATGAGTGGGTGGGTGTAGGGTCGCGCGCGCGCGGGGCCGATCTCTGCGGGCTAAGTCCCTGTCAGGCCGCGGGCCCAGAGCCCTCCTCCTGCCTCAGCGAGCGCCTGCCTCCAACTGACCCTCCCCGGCCGCCGCCGACGCCACCGCAACCGCCCCGCCCCCCGAGTGCCTTATCTGCATAGCCCCACCCCAGCGCCGCGCGGTGTCCTGGGAAACTGGGGCCCACAACAAAGGGCAAAACACCTCCCCACGGCCCCGCCTCCGCGCAGGCGCACTAGGGGCCGGTAGTGGCGGTAGGGAGGACCGGGCAGAAGCCGGATGTGGAGCGGTGAACGGGTAAAAGTGCTCGTTGCCGTGGCTTGAAGGCCCGGGAGATGCTTTGTATTTCAAGTAATGTTTTCTGAGCATTGACCTAACGTAGTCTTCATCCCTACTCCTTGTTTGTGAGGAGCCGAGCAGGGCTGTGTCGTTTGTAGGCCCTGGGAGGATATTTTATTAAACAAAACAAATCTAAGGGGACTACACACATATTAGCTCCGTTTCCAGATGAGCCCAGGCCCACAGATCTCAGCTACCTCAGCTTATAATGCAGATCAATAACTTCAGCTGTCAGCTGTGATCAACAGTCTCTGCACCTTGAAGACATCTCAGACCAGTGGTCACAGCCTGACACTGGCTGGTGGTCATCTGAAGCCAAATCTCTGTGGGTCGGGATCACAGTCACCTGACGGCAGTGATGGAAAGTACCATCACCAACTTGTTCACAGTCACTTTAGATCACAATCATGGAGTCACCTCTGTTCACTAACCCTGCTGGTCTTTATCACAGATCAGTGACAACAGGTCACAATCACTGTGCACAGACCCCTCAGATCACAGTCATTGGAGGCTACCATCACAGGCACTTCCACACAATCATCAAAGCTCTCGACTCTGTTCATAGTCAATCCAGACTGCAAACAAGAGAGGTCACATTATCTTAGATCACAGCAGAGTGCTGTCACCTCAAATCCCATTCATTCATTTATTCAACAAATAATTATTGAGCAGCTTCTTACCATGTGCTCCAGGCATGTGCTAGAGTCCAAGAATACTCAAGGATCAACTGTGCAAAGTTCCTGCCTTGGGTGTCGCAATCTGGTCAGAGGGAGAGACACAGGCCATCACAATATGAGGTAAGTAGGTGCTCAATCTGAAGGAGACCACGGAGAAAGTAACTAGGGAATCAGGGAGGGCTTCTCAGAAAGGGTGATCACAGTCAATCCAGATCAGAGGTCACTATAACCCTCAGTTCATAATAGCCCCAAATCACAAATGTCCCACATTAGAACCATCTCAGGACACCATTACTCTGCTTCACAAACAGTATGCTTTTGGTTTTTAGATGATGGGGTTACAGGGATGGAAGAAAGGTTGGAGCAGCCAAACTAAGGCTTTTCCAGCAAAAATTGAAGTAGTAAACGATACCAGAACTGTCTGGATTATCACTAGATATTTAAGCAAGGCTTAATACTTTGGCTCCCTTTAGATCTTTCACCTTGGTCCCCCTGTCTGTACTTACCTGCTCTTCCAAGTTCAAGCCAGGTATTCTTACATTAGTACACAGCAGAACTGAACAATTAAACCCAGTCCTGATCCACCCCATCTCATAGTCCCAGAGACCTGGGCAATTCTCCTGGCTCTCAAAGGGAGCTAGAATGGCTCATTTCTGCCAGCACATCCCTTTTGGCCTGAAGGACGGTTTTTAACCAATCAAGCAGACAATATTGAGAACTCACTATGTCAGTAATAGTGACCATTTAATGAGCATTGTGGGAGATCAAAATTGGCCACCCTGAAATATATCTCTTTACCTTGATTATTTTCTGTGACAGACATTTGACCTCCCCCACTAACTGCCTAAAGAAATTTAACTCTGGGTACAGACAGACTAGCAGGGTCCTCGCTAAACCCATTCCTGTCAAAGTTCTGTTTACCAAATATTTACATTTGTAAAGGTATCTCCCTCTCTGTACTGGGAAGAGGGGAGGATGGCCTTATCTCTGGAAACTCTTATCAGTACAGAAGGAAAGGACTTAAATCTACATACTCTTGATTACTGTGATTTCTTGCTCTCCAGCCACATTCTCTATAGGTGGCCCTGTAAAGAATTGTCTGACAAATATTTACATTTCCCTCTCCATATGAATTGTCTTCTTCCCCTCAGAAATCCCAAACCACTACCCCCCAACACCCTCCTCACCTTTAGCTGAAAATACTTAAGGGAGCAGGTTAATCAGAATGACGAGAGGGCCGGCCCCGTGGCTTAGCGGTTAAGTGCCCGAGCTCCGCTACTGGTGGCCCGGGTTTGGATCCCGTGGCTTAGCGGTTAAGTGCCCGAGCTCCGCTACTG